CCCTCTCCCATCTCTCAGCGTCCCCCAAAGCCCCCAGCCCACTCCCTCATTCTCCTCTTAGAACCCCCCACCCCTCCTCTTAGAACCCCCCACCCTGGTGCTACCCCACACTCAAGCCTGGGTGGGAGGCACACAGCCCACATGCTCGGATCCCTCAGACCCTGGGTTAGGCAGAACCCCCCCCCCTTCCCTGGACCCCCCGTTTCTGATCCCCTCATCCCACAGCCGCCCGGTGCCAGAGCTGCTGGAAGCGGTGACCACCACGTGCTGCGCGTTGCCCCAGGAAGAGCGGAGCCCCTGCGCCGAGGAGCAGGTGAGTATTGGGGGGGGGGCACTGGAAAAGGGGGGGGTCCGGGGCACGAGAATGCGTGGTCGATGCTCCTGACCCTCCCCATCCCTTCTCCCATTCGCCGCAGCTCTCTCAGCAAATCGACGTCCTCTGCGCTGCCCCACGCAGCTCCTGGCGCGACCCCCGTGGCTGCTGTGCGTGGGGGGGCCAGGAGAGGCTGCGGTGCTTTGAGGAGGAATACCTGGAGGGGGTGACGCTGGGAGCTGCCATTCCTCCCCCACCCTTCGGCCAGGAGGCTTAATAGCCCGGTAATAAAGGTGCTTCGGTGTCACACTGCACCGTGTCCCCCCTCCTCGCAGCGTGGGTGATTTTGGGGAGAAAAGGGGGCGGGGGGGGGTGTTGGGGTGTGTTTTTTTTGTGTGTGTTTTTGTGTGTGTGTGTTTTCGGGGTGTTGCAGCTGTGTCACTGTTTGTGGATCGGGGTGTGCCCTGTCTGGCACCCACGCGTGTCCGGGGCGGTCTGTGGACTGCGGGTGCTGCGTGTTGCACATGGCCTCGTGTCCCCAGGGTTTGCGCAGTGGATTCCCCACGTGTGGACAACACCGGGCCTTTGCCCCTCCCCATCCACACAGTGATCCCTTGAGCTGGATTCCCCACTCGTGACTTCATTATTCCTCGTGGGGATGCTGGAAGGTTCTGAGATGGGTGGGGGGGGTTTCCCATTTCCCCGCAGCCCCCCTCCCTCCCAAGAGTCCCCGTGTTGCGCAGCGCCCTCTGCTGAAGGACCTCCCACTCCCCGCCCCCCCACGTTCCGACGGCTCCACGCGTGACTCCGACCCCCGCGGGCGCCCCGGAGTGGGCGGAGCTACGCGGAATGTTCCTGGAAGCGGTCACGTGGTCGAGCGAGCGCCATTGGCGGACGCTGTTGCCGGGCGGGGCCAGAGCTAAGAAGCAGAAATAAGAGCGGGGTGGGCGGGGCTACAGCGCTAACCGGAAGTGACGCAAATTCCATGGAAATGGAGCGCGGGGTCGCGGGTTCGAACCGAGCCGAGCCGCACGTAGCGGGCCGGTGCTCTCCCCTCACTCACAACGGAGCCTTTGCATTAAAACAGACATTTATTGAGGACACCTGTAAGAAAGAAGTTTCTTACCTGGAGGCCAACGAGGTTGTTGGCGCTGCTGCCCGGTTCTTTGGGTACCCCAATCCCCGGCGGGCTGGGGGCACACATTGGGGGTAGGGGGGGAGAATCCCACCCCAATCATTCTATGGCGGCCGTGGGGCCGCTCAGCCCAGCTCTGAGCTCCCCATCAGATGGAGGTTCCCACCATTCCCCTCCCCCCCAGTTCCTCCCTACCCCCCTCTCCCCCCCCCGGGCCCCACACGGCCGTGACTTCCGCTGCTGCTTCGCGGAACGCGGCGCCGCTTCTTCGAAAAGCCGCGGGGCGGAGGAAGCTGAGCCGTATCAGCTGCCCCAGCGGCCGCGCCTTATCAGCACCGCGGCTTCCAGGAAGCGCAGGTGGCCGCGACCGCCTTTTGCATGTTGCCATGGTGCAGCCGGCCCAAAACAACCCTGAAAACCCAAAGGCGGTGCGGGGAGAGCAGCCTGCAGCTGGGGGACGGAGCAATGAGGTGTGCACAGGCAACGGGTGCCCACGGGGAAGGGGGGCAGGGGGGAATCCCACCGTGGATGAGGGACTTCCCCACGGCCACGCTGCCCTGCTCGCTTCCTCCTTCAGCTTCACAGGAATTGAAACCGAGAGGCAGCAGTTGGGGTTTCAGCCGTGGCCAAAGTGCAGAGGCAGGCAGCAGCAGCACGGGGCTGGGGTGCTCACAGCTGAGCCTTCAGCTCCCCATCCTGCTACAGGAATAAGTTTTATGCTACCCACTGAGAACAAGAGACATTTATTGACAAAACTAAGTGCTTCTCCAGCACCCAGGCAGGTCAGACAACAGCCCTGCCTTTAGCTTTCTTCCCACTGGGCATTGCTTGGGCTGCAGTTGGGCGGGTTCCCCACCACGCTCAGCCCCGTCCTGCAGGGGTCCTCAGCCCCAAGCACAGCACAGCCCAAAGCCCACGAGGAGCCCAGGGCTGGGTGCTGTGCTTGGGGTTGGCACCAGCTGCAGAGCCGAGGCACTGAGTTCTACACAGCTGCAGAACACTTACATTCAAATATCAGCTTTGCTGTGTTCACTGCTTATGGAATCAAAATTAAAGGGGAGAGAAGGAAGTAACCAACACCAACTTCCACAACCTCCCAACTGCCAGAAGAGCTCGGAAAACCAAAAAGATTAAAATAAACAGCAGTGGCAGCTGCTGGCCAGCAGACAGTGTGTGCAGCAGCCACTGATCCCCACTACAATCCCTGCCACTTCTGCTCGAGCGCACAGAAAGGTTTGCTTAAAGTCACTGCAGAAGGCTTTGCTACAAAAACTCCACGCAAGGGATGAAGTACAGCACCATCCATCAGCAGCTCCACCACATTCAACCTTTGCTTTTGTGTTGTTAGCTCTGTAAAGATGCACACATTCTGCAGCCGTAAAGATATTTACAGGCTCTCTGCAGCCTCCCCGCCCTTTGTGGGGTTTTACCTACTTACAAATGTACTCCCTATTTTTAAACTGCTGGCGTGGCGGGGTGGTGAGAGCAGTCAGACGGGCCGGCTCTGCCGGGCTGCAGCTGGCTGCGGTTCCCACAGTGCCAGCTCAAACTGCAGGACTGCTCATAGGGCCGCCCGCGGCCTGAGCAAACCCTGCTGGAAAGCAGGGGACAGAAATCACCCCGAGTTCCAGCATGGGCTGCACGCCTCAGCCTCGCACAGCACCGCTGCCTAAAGCTGCGACAGCAGAGCTGTGAGTTCAGGCAGCAGCACGGCAGCTGAAGATGCCATTTTCAAAAACCCACAACCACAACTCTGAAGCATCGGCTCCGCAACAGCCACCACACCAAAGCCACGAGGATCAGTCCAGGCAGGAGCTGCAGGTGCTCGTTGGCTCACGAAACAGATCTGTTTCCTCCGGGATAAAACTGAAGCTGTCCACTTTGCCTTTCTCTCCTCATGCTCTTGAACGAAGCAGAGTATCAGTCAACTCCTCCACTTTCTGTTCCCAAAGCAATAAATCCTCATTGGTACCCACGATCTGAGTGGAACATACCTTCTTTCTTTGGAAAGAATTGCTCAGGGGATGCCTAGATATTCTCCTGGGGTCAACACAAGTCCAGCTGCATAAATATGCACAGGAGGAGGTGATCGGCTCGCCAGCTCCCAGCGGAGCGGGTCTGCCCTGAGCTCTGCCCCTCTGCAGCACTGCAGCTCACCGGATCATGTAGGCCAAGCTCGCCCCCAGGCCAGCCACTCCTGCAAAGGCCATCAGCACGTTCCTGATGCTGCTTTCCAGGTCCTCAACTCGGAAGAAGTCGACAAAGCCCTCCTAAGAGAAAGAAGAGACAGTTATTCCTGAGCCAGCTGCCTCTTTCCATGGGAAGAAGCAACACAGAGCGAAGCTCCACACCCCACAGCTCCTGGAGATCTGCAGCCACAGCCCAGGTGACAACTGGGAGCCACACAACTTCAGGCAAGCTCGGGGTACCCCAATCTGTTTTGCTTTAGGGATGCCACCACTTCCTCATCAGGCAGGGGGGCATGTGTTTTTTTGGGTCAAAGACTGCTTCAAGCAGTTGGGTCAAAGCCACTGCATGCCACTGGCTAGGTGCTTTCAGATAGTGGTTTTAACTGGAACAGTGACTCATCTGCACTTCGCTGACACAGGCAGCTGACACCCAGTGGGTTACGGAAATAGGAAACACTGAATCGTTCTGAAAGCCTCGTGGTGGGCAGTGACTCACCCAGCCTCCCTGGCTCATCAGCCACTCGCGTTTGGATGAGACCAAAGCGTCTGTGATGATCCCCGCCAGCGAGCTGATGCACTTCTCTTGGTTGATGCTTTTCAGGTGTTTTGCAACAAAGGCACCAAATGAGATGAGTGTGACAACTCGGCCCCAGTTTGTTACTCCATCACTGAAAACGTTAGCAGCCACCTCACACACTGCCTGCAGATCTTCTTCTTTTTTGATTTCCAGCTTCCGAAGCATTCCTGAAAAGAGATTCCAGCTTAGAGACGGACTGAGCCATGCCAAGCCACCAGTGAGAGGACACAGCCTCTCTACCTGAGGTCTGAAAGCTATGACAGAGCAGCTGCTGCTGCAGGCCCTGCCACAGAACGAGCAGAGCAGGGACCCCACCTCCATCCCATGCTGCCCACTGAGATCTCATGAGGGCCCTGAGGAGCCTGGAGGGCAGCAGGAGGCATGGAGCAGCCTGGCAGCCCTGCCCCTGAGCAGCCACCTGGAACAGCCTGATCCACAGTGCCCCCTCATGAATAAGCAAACAAGACAAGCCTTTACGAAACTGAAAGGCACTGCTTGTTATTGCTTAAACCAAGAGGAAGCCTCCCAGAAGCCAGTTCCTCCTCTGTACACAGAGCTGCCAGCTCTGCAGAAGCCTCAGTTGCTAACAGCAGCTTGGGTCAATCTGCACACCCTGAGCTCAGCTCGTTTAGCAGCACACCCTCCAATTTAATTGGGGCAGGGCAATTAACCCCTGGACTTTTCTAAACAGTGCATTGCAGGAAGTGAGGAACAAACTGAATCCCTTTGCATTTAGAAGAGGAAACAACAAACAAACAACAAACTGAGACATGGAAGGTGTTCACCACAAACTGGCTTGGGGGAGGGGGAAAACACCAACACTGCCCCCTCTGTGACCTGGCAGCAGATGCACCCATCAGAGCCCAAGGAGTCGCTTCTGAGTTACACAAATCCAACCCAAAACGGTCACGTCCTGCAGGTCCCCAAGGATTTGCCTTGGAATTACATAAAACCAGGCTGAGAAGGTTGGTTCTCACTGGTTCCCTTCCCCCCCCCCCGCCAAGAAGTCACTTCCGAGTTACACAAAAATAGCCAAAAAGGGTCAGTTCCTGCTGGTCCTCAAGGGCTGGGCTTGGAATTACATAAAACCAAGCCAAAACGGTTGGTTCTCACTGTTCCCTCCCCTCCCCACACCCCACCCTCAAAAGGAGCTGCTTCCAAGTTACACAAAAACAGCCAAAAATGGTCAGTTCCTGCTGGTCCCCAAGGATCCCGTTCTAAATGACACCAATTCAGCCCAAAATGGTTGGCCTCTCACCGGCCCCCAAGGACTCACTTCCAAGTTACATAAGACCAGCCCAAAATGGCCGGTTCTCCCTTCCAGCCCATTCCAGTACATCCAAACCTGCAGCCTCCCCATCTGCTCAGCCCAGCCCAGGCACTGGGGCTATTTTGGGACCGGTGAGAATCAGCACCTTAAAGCAGCCATTCTACAAGCTGAGGGCTATGGGGAGGGAGGGGCTTCTCCTACCTGAGTCAGGGACCCGACCTCATGGCACAGCCCCAAACCCCACAGCAGCGCAGCCCCAGAGCTCCCTCGGTTTTAGGAGCCCCAAAAAGCTGTAATACAACAGCAGGACAGCCCCCAACCCCCTCAGCGGAGCAACTCCACAACTCCCCACTTCTTTGGAGGAACTCTGACCCCTTCGTCTCAACGAGGAGACCCCAAACTTCCTCCATTCCCCCAACCCCTCCATACAGCACCACGAGGGAGCCCCAAAGTCTGCAGCAGGGCAGCCTCAAGCCCCTTTGTATGACAACAGTGGGAACCCCAAACCCCTCACACGCACAGGGGAGCCCCAAAACCCCTCACACCACACAGGGGAGCCCCAAAACCCCCTCACACCACACCGGGGAGCTGCTCCAAAGCCCCTTCATAGCATTAGAACAGCCCCAGACCCCCCAGTGCAGCACCAGGACGATCCCCCTCCCCTCCACACCGCATTAAGGAGCCCCCAAACCCCTCCCTGCTGCACAGGGGGGACTCCCAGAGCCTCATCAGCATCGTGAGGAGCCCCAGCAGCCCCCCAGCACAGGGACGGCCGCCCTTCAGCCCCCGGGGCGCGGCGTGGCCCAGCCCAGCCCCCCTCCCAGCCCTTCCCAGCACAAAGTCCGCTTTCGTTTTCACCCCACGGCCGTTCCGTTCCCTTCCCCCACCCCCCTTCCTCCCCGTTTCCCGTTTCCACGCACCCTGGAAGGC